TATCCTTTCAAGTAAAAAATAACTAAAAATAACTTACCTGTAAAATTAAGGCGTCTAACTTTACACCAAAAAAAACATACACTTTTTTCCATTGTTGCAAGCACCCGATGACGATTAGGTAGATATCAACTAGAAGCATGTACTTAATGGTTATAAAGCTTATTTTAACACAAAAAGAATAAAGCACTAGTCGAAAAGCAGCAATCAAATATAAATAGAACACAACATTAAAATTCAAATTAAAAACTATAACTATAAAAGACAAATACTCTAAAAGCGCAAAAGATCAGAACCAAATAAAATGAATAACCATAATAACCTAAAAATAACACTAAAATTGTAAAAACTATTACTGTAAAATCATGAGATTACATCAATAATGCATATGCGTCGGAGTATCGCAAATGTCAAAAGTACAGTGTTTCCATGAAAATTTAGCTATGTTTTTAGCAGTATTATAGGACCATTTCTACCACGCTCATCCAACGATATTGGCGTTCCACAGTTCACTGTATTTTGCTCACACCTCTAGTATAAATGATTTGACATAACAAAACTAACAATAATTATAATTAATGTTAATAAGTGTTTCGTGAATTCTAAATAAAACAATTATTATATAAAAGTGTAAAAGGAAATGTAATTTATTTCCCTATTTTCTTCTGTAATATCTTCAATTATTATGTTTTATTTCTATAAATAAACCAACTGGTTAGGTGAAACATTGTGATATATGATATTATTTATGTGTCCTATGCGTACACTTTAATATACAAAACACCTGGAACATTCTTTAAATAATTGTGGTCGTAGAAATAATTGTGTACATAACTCGTTTGAAAGTGTATTTTATGCACTTGCCAAATATATTATCCATACTCACAGATTAATCAGACTACTTTTTTACTTATATATATATATATATCTCTTACTACTAGAACTATTTCTATCACTGAAAAAAACGATCCGTATTTTCGTATGTTCTGATGCATTTTCGGTTTCAACCCATCGGACCCCCCCTCTAAATATATATAAATTTTGCTTAAAATTGCTAACCCTACAATTCTCTATCCGTGTTTGCTGACTGGGAAAATAAATACCGAAAATCGTCACTGTCTCCTGGACTATACAATAGATGATGATGAGGACTTCACAACAAATACACTTTTATGAATGGCTAGTTGGGGATGTGGATATTTCGCAATAATCGACGGGATTTTTCCAAACGTTTTCGTCATTAATTTAAAAATCTGCGTTTATTTTCACTTCTAACTTTAATACAAATCGATGGCTTAGCCCACAGATGTGTTAAGTGCAATTTTGGGACAAATTGAGTTAAATGCATGCCTACGTATATGTGTACAAATAATGTATCTTTATTTTGCTTTATTATGTAATCAGAAGCAACGAAGAAGTTTGAAAGGATTTGGTAGAAACATTTCATGTGAAATATCATAGAGCTATAGCTTCAAACCTTTAAACTTAAATTGTGAAATATTAGCAAGATGTTACCCGAGAATACCGATCAAGGAGAAGCAACACTAGCTGTCGGTGCCTTTGATATCGGATGTACCTTTTTCACAGTATGACTTTGACTGATACACAACTTAGCACGCTGAGAAAACATGCTTATTTTGTACACTGAGCGAAATAGTTTGGCAAATTATCTGAAATTATTGTTATAGTCCATGTGCAAATGTTGCAATGTGATTTAATTACATTGAAGTAGTTAGGGTTAATAGCAATGCTGAAATTTCGGCACCAATATATAATTCATTATGTAATAATTAATTATTTATTATAAAAGTAAAAGACGTTTATTATTTTATAATTTATCTATAAAATTTGATCAATATTTGGTTTATTTATTGGTAAAAATGTAATAAAAGCCCCATATTTAAATTAAATTACCTTTTCCTTAACTAAAAATAAGGTAAATAAAATTAAGGGTGTCAAAAAAAAATTAGGTAACAATTAAAAAGACATTAAGTTTGAGAGGTTTAACTAAATATTTGCAATGTGCATATATTTTCAAAGCTTTTAGGTTTAAAAAGTACTTACATATTTTTAGAATTTCTAGATTTATATTATATTAAAAGGACTTTCCAGTTTATTACTCATTTCTGTAGAAACAAGTGTTTTCTCGCCAAGTTAAACCAGATGTCATTTAAGGTTTATGTATTTAGAGTTAAATACCTGGCCTGGCTATTACCCAGACAATACAAATATGTCCATTGAACGTCCATTCGATATACAATTTTGGATGTCTAGACGTCCAAAAATGAGTTTTCTGGACTTCCGACATCCAATGGACGACCAGTGAAGTATACAAATGGCACATTTTTGACCATTTAGAGGACGTCCAATTCTGGAATATATTTGGACGTCGAATACTGGACATTCAAAAAACGTCCAGGATATTTCCATTGAGATCACATCCCCACTTTTTAACAGAACCGCAACTCACCACACAATATTTTATATTATTAATAATTTGTTTATTATTTTCGCAAATCGCTATACACCATTTATTTATTTTTTATTAAAAATCGCTTGACCTGAGCAGGAATGGAAGAACTCACGACACATCCATTATCATTTTACGCTTTCAATCGCTAGACGAGCTCGACCAAGGAACCACTTGAAAACTTTTTACTAGATACAGTTATAATTGAATAAGATTTCAAACTTCCGCTGATAGAATGAAATGCAATAGATTCAATTTGTCAATTTTTAGTGATCAGTTATATTAAAAAAAAAGAAGTATATATAGATGGGTATTATCTGGTAGGCTTAATAAATAATGACCTAAGATGGACGTCCACTGGACGTCAAAATACTACTGAACTTAAAATTAAGTCCAAAAACAGACGTTCTCTGGGTATCGATATTCAGCTGTCAATTTAATTAGCATAAACGGACGTACACTGGATGCCCAGATATGGACGTCCTGACCCTCAAACAGATCTAAAGTGGACGTCCATTGGACTATGTGTGCATAGACGAATTTTTAGTAATTTAAGTATGCACCAATATTTCCAAAATTAACTCCAGTATGATTCATTCAATAAATGTAAATATGAATGGGCAAAACATCTTTATATTGACATAATTGTAACTTACAATTTAGCCATAATAAAGGGATTTTGCCCACTTTGACCAATCCTAATTGAAATACGCGAATTTATTATATTTTTTTAAATATAATTTCAAAATAAAATAAACAAAATCTGCAGTTCATTGTTTATTAAATTTATTTAAAAGAAGAAAAACATATTTCACAAAATACAATTCCTACATATGAAAAATAAAATGTCAAAAATGATTAAATCATTATACTTAAAATTTATGCATGTGATACAATTCTTAGTTTCCTAACAACTTTTTTGGCACATTTTATATCTGTATTAGAATACCTAAGTGTGTAAAAATCTTCATCTTATTACTACACAAAACAAACACCAAAAAATATCACTTAACATTGCTCACGTACTAAACACAACTTGGACTGACTTTGACAGATAACATAATTTTGAGTGACACACAACTTATTTTCGCACATACGCGTTACAAAACGGTACACTGAAAACACCAAGCTGTCGCTTCTCCTTGATCGTTATTCTCGGATGTTACTTAACACAAATGTGCACTAAACCATCAATACATAAATTAGTGTTATTTTATGACATTTACGTTTGTCAGCGTTCGCCTAGCAACGATAGTGTCTACTATGATAAAATGGCAATGTTATTTTGTACTTTGATTGCAATAATGAACCAGTATGACATAAGTTTGTATGCACAGCGGGTATAAACAGATGCGTATATCCTGTAACGGTTGGACACAAACATCTCTACTCAAATGTCATTTGTCGTTTATGCCTTGTGTCAAAAGTTCCTATTTCATTTTGATTTGTATCTGTCAACGAATCAGTTGATTTTAAATTTTAAATTATCTGGGTCATCCGATGTACTAAATCATTTTTATCTATCGCATATTCCGTCTGATTTTATAAGTATGGCTATATCTAGACGGTTTATTTCGAGTTATATCTAAAACTGTTTATGGAGATTTAAGTTTATGGAGATTTAAGTTTATGGAGATTTGTATCTAAACAGTTTATTTGGTTTTATATCAAGAAGTTTATGGTTTTTATACCGAAGAGTTTGGTGCAATCTGAAGACCTATAGAAGATCGACGCAATATCGTCAAGCCCATAATTAAGAATAAGAATCCCTTTGAAGAAGGCCTAGTATACCGGGCAATCACTCTCCTAATCTAACTACCTCCTGTTATAACAGATAAGTTTTTTTAAATAAATCATTTAAATTTGAATTAAGTAAATCTCTGTGAATTAGAATTTGTTACTACCTTATCTAAAACTTGGTTTAAATATAATATCTTAATGGTTAGTGATTTTCTATATTTTTATCACTAATCTATAGTCAAGTATAGTAGTAAGTTTTAAATATAGTGGTGCCCAACTTCTTTTTCAAGGTAATTCGAGTTATTCAATAACCTGACCCACTCCCAAAATCAATTGAGCTTAAAACACTATAACAAATAGATAAAATATCAAGTATCACGTTACAATACTCGGGTGACTTATGGAGGCCCTACACACTCCGGTATGGCCTGCAGGCCAAGACGCACAGTTCTGATCTAAAGGCAAAATTTAATAAGCTCATTTCACTCTTCATCTTCACAGTAGACAAAATAGGAGAGGCCAGATGGGAGTCAGATCGAGCACTTCACGTTGAGTTATGGACTAAATTTATGGACTGTAAAGTTCAAATCTCACAAAAATCGAAGCCCTCAGGGCATAAATATCTATTTATACCTTTGGTATATAAATAACTATTTTGTGTGCCTCCTAGGAATATTGTGTAACCGAAAAAGATTAAATTAACACGCTAGTTAAAGGTTTACTATATATCTGTAATTAAGTTTATGACTAGATACTAAATATCTACAAATGAAATTTCAACTGTACTCCTTACCTGCATCTTTTGCTTAGGGTATCCCCTGAAGATGACATGGATAAGACCACATGAAGGTTTGTTTGACACGTTTGTAAAAAATACTGCCACACTGCATCCTTTGCTACACCAAAGCCAGCTTTTTTTGAAGCAGCTAAATAAAATATTTAATAATGAATAATGTGAATTTTTCTTATATTAATGGAAATAAAACAAAATCAACCTACCTCTGGCACTATTGATTACTTGTTCTTTATCTTCTTCGGTAAATAAAGAAGGAACATAACCAATCATTAAAATATTATTTATAAATTCTAAAAAGCCTTCTTCCACAATTTGAGCGGCCGTAAAGAAAAAACACGTTTTCTTATTATCGATTCCCAATTGACTGAAAAGCTTCTTTAAATCGTCTTTAAACAGCTGCTCGTTATAACCTACAGGAAATATTTATACTGCAATGTTTATTTTCTATTTAGAGATTATTAATGTAATTATTTTCTATTTTTAAGAGCAGATTTATTTGCTCTATGACGTAAGAGGTACCCAGCTAGCACATAACGTTGCCAAGCCTTTCAGCATTAAGGCAACGCAATAACATTACTATACAACGTAAATGCAACGTTCATGAGAAGCTGTTGAAGGAACTCAAAACCTCGCAAAACTTCTATTTGTTATTTACCTAGTTAACCTACCTGTTATGTTGACACAACGTAATAAAGTAATTTGCTAAAATAGTATCCACGAGAAGTACCGTGAACATCACAATTCTGAATTCGGAACGTTTATGTTTATGTCAATTGTCACTTGTCAGTTTTTCTTGTCATTTTTTGGCTCCCAGAATTTATTTTATAAATAATTATTATTATTATTTGTACATTTGAGTAGATTTGGTAAGGGTCCTCTATAAAATAGAAAACTATTTTCTAAACCATTGTCTTTGTTTCAGATTACAATGCCTGGGGTAGTATTCTCGAGTCACGAATATAGATTCGCATGCGAGATTTATGATTTGTCTCACTTGGTTTTCGTTCAACACATTGTAAAACACGTATGCGAATGTCGGTATTCGTGATTCGAGAATACTACCCCTGATGTAAATTTATAATTTCATTCATTGGGTATACAAAATGGTTGAACTACAATAAAAACAAAGCATTGCAGATAAATCGTTGTAAACAAGAAGATAAACATTTAACCGAATGTCCAGTAACATTTTACACCAAATACAGGGTCCGGCATTGAAACTTTCTTTTTTTAAAGATAAAAAATAAAAGTATAAATTGTACATTTTATTTTTTTTATTATTAGTATTAAGTAATAACATGGGAAGTTTGAAATTAAGATGTCTTTAAAAAGAATATTTGACAAGTATCCACCGTTGCTGTCGATGCATTGTTGTAGCCGATTTCTGAAGTTGATGTGGACTCTTTCGAGCATTGCAACCGGTATATTGGCTATCTCGTGACGAATATTGTTTTTCAATTCTTCCACAGTTGCAGGACGGTTGTTATAGACTATAGGTAGTCCTATAGAAAAAAATCACACGGGGCTAAATCTGGAGAGCGTGCGGGCCACGGTATGTCACCCCTGTGGGAGATAAGTCGCCCTGGAAAATTTTCTCGTAAAAGAGCCATCGAAATTCGGGATGTGTAGGCCGTGGCCCCATCTTGCTGAAATCATTATTCGCCTATAGCCATATTTTCAAGAGCTGGCAGAAAGAAGTTATTAATCATTGCCACATATCGCTCAGAATTTACCGAAACTGTGCGATTGCCTTCCTCAAAAAAATATGGCCCAATGATTCTCAAGGTTGATATCGCAGCCCACACTGTGACCCGATCCGCATGAAGAGGCCTGTGATGAACTTCCTGTGGCGACATCATAGCACCACATAGTCTTACCTTTAGTTTTGACTTTTACGTCAATTTATTTTAAGGTTTCCAATTACGGATTCGACTCAAATGCTCTTGCTCGATGACAAAGCGCTTTTAGTTCTGAATTGATTTTGGGCAGAATTTTTATAATTCAAATTTATATCTAGCAGTGCACACAGCAAGCACGAGCTAAAGTTCGACATTAGTGTAGCGCATATTTATCGTTATTCGACTGGCACAGTTAGCACTTGACATTTCAGATTTCTAACAAATTTTTAATGATATTTATTTATAGTTTCCAAACCAAAAATTAAATCTCTATTAATTTCAAAGATTTTCCATTATCACTAATAATAAAGACAAAGATGATATATTTAAAAATATGAAACAATTCCTAACCTCCAAAATGACACTGGCACTGAAAAAAAGTACAGTTCCAAAAAATTCGAACAAAAATTTCACTATGCCTTGGTACCGAGCAATTTCAGTCGAATGCAATAATTGACTTTTAATTAATTAGGTTCTGTCAGTCGAACAAACACCTCTTAAAAAAGTCGAACTAAATGCGCATTAATGCAGTCAGTCGAATCCGCTATTAGTCAGTTTTTATTTGAGGTTGGTCAAGTGTCAATGTCAGATGGTACCATTATAATATCACATATATTATGATCTTGGTCGATAGCTGCGTACACTAGCACCCTACTTATCCGATGGATGGTAACCATGGAAAAAGAAAACAAAAAATGGATTGATTACGGATTTCGAAAAAGACAAGACAAGACGTACCTCGACACAACATTTTTCATATAATGTTTTTTTATATTTTAAAATAAAATTATAATTATTTACTGAAATTCTGATTTCCTGCTACCTACACTTCCCTAGGATTGATAACGCTCCAATAAAGCATATTTTGTTTATTAACACAACCTGAGAGGTGGAAGTGTGCCTCATCACTAAAAAACACAAATACTTCAGGGGGCAAATTATCAAGGAGCGTTTCGCATGCCCTTTGTCGTGAAACAAAATCACGTTCGAAAAGTTCTTGTGCGACTACCATTTTGTAGGGGTGAAAGTGAAGGTCTTCATGAAGAATTCTGCGAGTTGAACGATCCGACAACCGCAGGGCAGCCGCATGTTTTGAAGCAGAGCGCCTAGGAGATCGCAAAACCGACTCTCAGACTGCCTCAATGTTTGCGGGTGTTCTAACGGACCGTCTTGCTCCTGGTCTCCTGCGGCACACATTTCCAACTGTTCTAAAAGCCTCCACCCAGGATAAGATGGATCCCCGGGCAGGAACAGCTCCTCGAGGGAGAATATTGTACCGTTAACGGAACGCACGCTGCACCGCAACTATTGAGCGGCCTTGTGAAAAGAACGTTTCTACTGCAAACGCGCGTTGATCTCTCGCCCAAAGCATTTTTACGACTGACGAATGGTTCGAAGTTCGAACGTTCGAACGGTTAAGAAATAATAAATCTTCCCACCAACGTTCTTCTTTAAGAGCACTGCCGCACCGCAATTATCTCCAGTAGCGTCCTCACGTCTCATTGAAAAAAGAAAGTTTCAGTGCCGGACCCTGTACTTATAAATGGTAATTATACTTAATCGAACTAAAAATACATTTTAAAAATATTATATTTTAGGTTTCCTTTGACATTCTAGGAATTTTAGAAGCAAAAGTAAATACTACAGAATTGTCTAAAGAATATATAACACCTGAAATTTTATAAAAAGTAAATCTATAGGCACATAGTATGTCAGGTATATCAGAATTCAAGCAGTTCATTCTCTTCAACAGGCTAGATGTGCCTGGAAATGTAACCATCAGTTCAAGTGCAAACCCAGAAGAAATTTGAGAGAAATCATAGATGATGCTCCCGAGTATAATAGAATATCTTGCTAAAAAACACGAGTTGTTTTTTTGTAAAATCTACATATAATCTACCTTGGAAATCAAGCATAAAATTTGTAAAATTCATACAAATTTCAATACACTAACATTGGTTGTTTTATTTAAAACAACAAAGTAAGGCATATTTTTAAATTTCTATTATAATTTCCTTTAATAATAGTTAAAAAAGTTGTTAATTTATTTTTTATTCAATGTATTGAGAAGTAAAATCTTTTTATATAAAAATATAATTTATGCTCTTCTAATAAATTGTCAAATTTAGGTTACATTATAGCTCTTTATAAATATCTATACAAAAAAAGTTAAAAGGCTTGATTCAAAAAAGATATATATCTCTGTGTCTAGAGGTAAGAAATCATGAAACTTAGCTATCCTCTAGTAATCTAATATAATAATATGTACCTAGTCATTGTTGTATTCGTTTATTATTATTATTTACCAATCTAGCTTTATCATCGTTCACAGTTTAAGGTTTTAGTGAACCTTTGCAATATTGATACCTTATTATACTATTTAGCTAATTGTGTCCAATCGTTCAGTGCTTTATTATAGGTAGCTTCTTCTATCTCACATGTGTAATTGTGTTTGTGATATAAGGTGTGTTTTTTCATTCAATAATTGTTTCATCAGTGATTAATGTCATGATGTCACTGATTAACTTCTGGTGCAAGATATTTGCTCTGAAAATAAGAACGAACGACATCTCTCAAATCAAAAATTTGACGTTTGACATCGCTTCAAAAATTAAACCCGTTTTAATTTAATGTAACAGTAATTTATCTCTTCTGCAGTCGTTTTATATTTAAACTCTTATATTGTAGGTTAACTTTTATCTAAATAATCGTGTTCCCACGTTCAAACAAATTGATTAACTATCCTCACCATTCATCTATCACACATCCATCGGCTTTTAGAGCCGATGGATGCGTTGGCTCATTGGTGATCTTACGCTGAAAAAAAGAATGATTGACATATACAATCGTCTTTTCATCGCTGTAGAACTAATTCACATTATAACATCTATAGAACGTTTCAGAGTAACTTTCGGGTTAAGTACCGTAAAAATGCTAGTGTGATATTTTTCGAACTTCACTTTGTAACCTCTGTGAGATGTGCTATAAAAGTCTTGCCGTTGCGGACATTCGGCGGTTGCAGGGATATTAGGGTTACATTAAAAGTACATCGCATGCGAGCTGTAACTTGACAAACCGAACCCTCACCTAGTTTTGCAAATACTTATAACCTTGGCCTAAATTTCGTCTAGTGGATTCCTACGAAGTGATGTTAAAACCCCCCAGAATTACGTTTAGTGTTCAATGTAGCTGTAATGGAGGAAGAACAAAGGAAACACCGAGATTCATTTTGAATACTGTTTAATTAACATCTATTCTTTTGTACAGCCGAACATTTAGATTATGTGCCATTATGTTTATGTAGGCTTTCTAATGTGTCATTTTTAACCTCAGAGCTTTTAGTTCCCATAAAAGGGTAAAATAAAAGTCGGAAGTACTTTGGTATGTTTGTTTGTCTCCTAATATACAATCACACGTTTCCACGGAACTACTGAATTACGCATTGTCTAATAAAAGAGAGTACAACGGTAGCACGAGGAGTGTTGTGAGATCTAAAATATTGTGTTGAATTGA